GCGCTGATTTACCCTCTTTTCAAACTTTGCAGTCGCAGCTATAATTAGGGTGTATTTTACGTTGGTTTGGGACACGACGTTTGTTTTCTGCCTCTGTTGACAAATTTTGATGGTCTTTTCTGTTCAGGAAGCTCATAAGAGGCTTAAAGCCTATTTAAAAGTCGCAAGTTTTGCCTTCCCTCAAGCATGCGCGCGTATTTTTCACGCGTGACCACGTCGCGCATTAGACAGGGCGTAGGGTTAAGATTCTCGCACGTTTCCTCTTTACCTCTCCTCTTGCGTCCTTGCGCGTTCAGCAATGTGACCCACTCTTTTTTTCAGTCCTTTAGCTTAAAGCTTGCTTAAAAGGTTCAACTTTTGACCCTCTCTGTAACGTCCGCGCGTGTGTTTCACGCGTGACCATTCTCGCTTAAGACAAAGCGTGGGTACAAGATTCTCGGGCGTGGGTACGAGATTTTCGGGCATTGTGGGTTTTCCTCTTATCGGGCATCCTCGCGCGTTTACTGAAGTGACCCACTCGTGTTTTCGGTCTCCTGATCTTTTAGACACGTAGGAGCTTATATCCCCACTTTTCAGATTTTGCAATCCCAGCTATAGAGTGTGTGTATTGTCACGCAATAAAAGATAAAATCAAAAACCATTCATTGGATAAAGTCAAGAAATTATGTATTATAGACGATAAATAAAGAAGACAGCTCTCCAAGTTTAAGTTGTGTGCGTTGTCCCAAAGTTGAGATGTTCGTCGAAATGTTCCGCGCAAAATTATAGAGCCTAATATGGAGCCGCCATGTTGGAGAACTTCCTTAGTCTCCCAATATGGTGGCTGGAAAATAGTGTAAACATCTGGAAGTTACTTTGGCTATCTAGTCGACTGATTATCTGAACCCAACCAAAATGCATTTACACAAGCACTTTTCCTTATACTTTAACTCCTAAAATGGCTAAAAATCACGAGACAAGGGTACATTTTTCGACAAATGCGATCTTAGCTTCATGTCACGCACCGCCATAACTCCGAAATTCAAAATGCACTGGTTTGCAAACGAAGGACGCTAATGAGCTGGAAAGTTGTAAACGGATATAAATTTAGTACCTCTTATGTCTGATGAGGATAAAACCTTTAGGGGCTCTTTAGTTTCGGATCTGAGAATTTGATGACGTGACCTGAACACACTTTATACCTAAAAATAATAATAATAATTTAATAACTTCTAGAGCGCTATTTATATTTCCTGATCAACAGCGCTTTACAACTTAAAATACTACAATAAAATAGAAATTTTAAAACAATTACACGTATATTAATTAAATAGAATGTTCATAATAATGATAATAAACCTAATTAGTAATAGTAATAAGAATTGATATCAAGTAGAATACGCTTTAAAAGTTACACCAACTAAATAAGTTTTCAGTTTACATTTAAAAATAGCTAATGACTGAATATCACATAATTCAGCGGCAAACTATTCCATAAAATACATACTGTAATATGGAACAGCAGCAGAGAAAGATCTATCACCTAAAGTGACAAGCATTTTCCCTTTAGGAGAGTCTGACAATAAACTTTGATTTGATCTCATATTATATATAGATCTAGGCATAATGTTTATTAGTTCTATGATATACTTGGGCACCAATCCATGAATAGTTTTAAATGTTAAAATTAAGATCTTAAAATGAACACGATGTTGTGCTGCTAACCAATGAAGTCCATAAAGCGCTGGAGTAATATGCGAGTACTT